CTGGAGAAAAAGATTGATCCAGTACTTCCTAGATAATTCCTGAGCATGAGCATAATTGTGAATACAGCAGCAGAATCAAATCCTGCACCTAGAATAGCAGCAGTGTCACTCAGATTGTCAGCCCATTGCCAGAGAGGCTAGGCTTGGCCTGGCTTTTGAGGTCTGCAGTGAGTAGAGGCATATGAGTCACCCTGGGTCTCTTAGCCGTGGAAAAAAGGGTCATTCCCTAGTGTGGGTTACCAGGATAAAATAAAGTTGCATAAAACCACTGCAAGTTTTGCAGTTTGTTGCATATGGGATGAATTACAATTCACAGATAGCCAACTGAATCTAAATTTAGAATTATTTCTATAAGCAGTTTGCTGTATGCAAACTGTGTCCGATTCTGTAATTGTACAACATTAGAAGGGTACTGTAGCATGTTAATAGCTATTAACAGACATTGTTACATTATTACATAATTTCATTAAATGTCTAATCTATCCTGTCGAAACATCTCCAGCAGAGATGGTTTTTATATTTGTTCAGAGCAGTCTCTATACTTGCTATTCTACTTAATTAGATTCTGTCATGTATGGGCTGTATTGCTACAAGTGGATGAATCAGGATGTTATCCTGATGATGCATGGATGCTATGGCTCTGTTGAAGTCAAGCTAGGGAGTGAGGCTAAGCACATACTCCTTGGGCAGGTGTCTCTGCCTGCAGTGGGGAGGTTGGAACCTCGATGATCTGTAAGGTCCCTTCCAATCCAAACCATTCTGTGATTGTATCATCCTGCAATCTATAGAGATACACACAGGCACATACATTCAGAGTACTCAAGCACACAGCTGGCCATGCAGATCACATGGACAAGAAGTACTTGAAAATTTTACTTTGAGAATGCTTTGAAAATTTAGCTAATGTCACTATGAAGCCATCAGAATTAGCAAGACATTTAAAAATCTAAGCATCCAGAGGACAAAGACAACCCTCTACAATTTTTTCAGTGATGTTTCAAGCCATGTGACATTGAATTCAGTACTTTGTAAATTTTCACCTAACCTAATGACAAATGTTTAGAGAAGCCTCCTCTGAGGTTTCTTACTTCAAAGCAAAAGACAAAATGTCACATAGCACCAGGGAAACACTTATTTTTCCTGCCATAAAAGGTAAAAATGGCTGTGATAATACACAGGAAGCAATACAGCAGCAAAGTAAAATGCATTCCTTTGTCAGCAAATACTTAGAAAATAGAGAAAATAGTGCTGAAAGTTTGAAGAGACAAGTATCAGCAAAATTACATAGTGGAACAGGATTTCTGAGTGGATGGGTGGAAGTACAAATGTTTCAAAAATGGCTCAGATTAAGGTATTTGACAAATCCTGTTTCAATAGTGAAATAAATGAAGAGCTAACTTCTGTAAGCTACTGAAGGGAAAATTTACCATAGAAGCCATATTCTCAACAGTAAATTATTTCTTTAATAAAAATGTTTTCTGGAAGAGCTGTGCAAGTGTAAAGCCCAGTGGAACAGCTGCTTTGACTGGCATAAGAGAAGGATTGGGTGGTTAGTTTATGTAGTCACCACTACAACTGGAATTCGTTCACTGCAATGTTCATAGACATGTTATTACAGAAAGAAATTGCAAAAGGTGCTACAGGATGTCATCAATTTGATTAATTTCATAAAAACAAGACCTTGAAACACTAGAACCTTTACGATATGTCCAATGACAGGGAAGAGACCATGAAAATCCTTGATACCTGTGGTGGGTTGACTTTGATTGGCTATCACATGCCCACCAAGCCTATCAGCAGATATTTGAATACATCTGATAAAGACAAAGGCCTGCCCCAGTACTAGAAGAGGCTGCAGAAATTAATCTCATGAACTAAGAAAACATGACAGTGAGAGATCAAGGCATTAGATATAAAAAAAAAAATCTAGGCATGTAAAGCAGGACATCAGACACTGAAGAGGAAACCCACAGTTCTAAAAACCCCCGTTGAGCTCCTCCACAACCCTTCCAAAGCAAATCCCTTCACCAAAAATGAAAACTATGTAATTGAATCTTAACCCAATTTGCATGGTTAGACAAATCAGCTGAGACATCAAGCCCAAAAACAAGATGTAAAATAGCAGAAATATTAAATGACATTAGGATACTTCTGCCCTTGAGATAAACAGTTGGTCATTGCCCATAATAGCACATAGGGATTGGCATTGCCTGACATATACAAGGCTTTCAGGCACCCAGAAGTGGAATAATTGCAAGCACTTAGGTTGCATTGATCACATATTCTGCTCTCCTCTATCAATTGCTATAATTAAATCCATGGCAGGAATTCTAGGAAGTGGAATTATCTTGGCTGCCAGTTCATTGAACTGTATTAGGAGCAAAACATGGCCCCCATGTGATCTGATCATGATCTTGATGAGTTCATCTAGATTCATTTTGCTCTCCTGGATCATAACTCTCTAGTTGCCAACATACTTTATGTGTTTCTGAACTGGTTTAGTGCCTGGCTTAGTGTCTTCTATTGCATCAAAGTTGCCAGTTTTACACAGTCTTTGTGCTTTTTGAGCAGAAGCAAAGAATTGCCAAGCTGGTGCCTTGGATGCTGCTCACATCATGGTTCAGCTCCTTCACCGCTGCAATTCCCTTCATCTGGGATGACTATGCTCTGCAGAGGAACTTCACTGCTCCTCAACCCATGACAAACTCTTCAGCAGTGAGAACCACAAGGAAAGATAGGTTGGGTTTATTAATTCTTCTCTGTAATGTTGGAATAGCTATGCCTTTTATACTTGTCTGTTGTTTCTAGTGTCCTGCTGATTCGGTCTCTGTGGATACACACCAGAGAGACGCAAAAGAATGCAAGTGGCTTCAGGGATCCCAGCTCAGAGGCATACATCAGTGCCATCAAGTCAGTCTGTTCCTTACTTATCATTTACATTATATATTTTATTTGTGTGCTTATCATCCTTTCCAAAATTTTTCTAATTTAAGTGATGGAGATTCGATCTGCATAGTTGTAATGGCTGCCTGTCCTACTGGACACACATTGGTCTTAATTTGGAGCAATCCATAATTTCAAGAGCTAGGATTTGGTACCACATTAACAGTCATGTCAGGAATATATCCATGTAAAAGATCAAAAGATCATGTTTTAGCCTGGACTTTCTATTTTAGATTAAAGAGAATTAAAATGAAGTTGTCAGAGATATAAAATAATAGGCAGTGGAATGAATAGATTAGAGCCATGATCTTCAGTCACAAAGACAGGTGATAATTTGCTTTACTTGGATATGAGTCTTGTGTTGAAGAATTGTGTAAGTTCTGTCCTATTTACTGTACTTTCCTTGGAAAATGCCATGGTTACTCTCTGACAAGAGAAAAAAAAGGCCAACACTCAGATTCCAATATGATTCAGTAAATAAAAAAAGAGCCTTTTCATCTTCCTTCTCATGCTGAAGTAATGATTAGTGCCTGTACATTATTTGTACATTAGGACTGGTGTTTTGGGAGCCTTCCAGGTGCAGTGGGAGTTTATTAACTTTTACAGTAACTGTCACTGAAGCACATATTATTTAAGCCTTGTGTTGACAAGCCCATCCTGAGTCAATGTATCTGGTTTGGATGTTGTCAATCTGTTTGAAGCAATGCACCTGTAATTCATCTGAGTCTGTGCCTGAATTGTTTCATTTCAAACTTTAAAAAATACCAAGTCAAAGGATAACTTGTGTTGGAGTCTTCCTTTCCCTCATGATGGAAACTGTTTCACAGGTGCCAGCAGTGGCTTGCAGGTACATTTTCCACACCATTTAATAGACATGCAGAAAGTTCAGCACATGGCAATGTCACGCTGGAGTGGCATTGTCAGCACCAGTGAAAGGTGCTGGTTCCCAGCTCAGCACCATGAGACATCCGTGTTGGGAGGCTTGGGCCATCCTCTGCCCTTCCCTGCTGTCCCCTCACCGGCCCACAGGAACAAACCTCAGAGCTCTCTGACCACACCAACAAGCAAAACACGCGGGCTGTGCTCAGCCCACAAGCCATGTGTGCTGTCCTGCTCCTGGCTGAGCCCTGAGGCACACGGCTGCTCAGCAGGGACACCCTGGACAGCTGATCTCACACTCTTTGGGTTAGGTTCCATTATTGCACATTCCTCATGCACATGAGATGCAAAAGTGGTGCCTGTGCTATTTTCCTGCCTCTTTGAGTACATCTTCCCTCCAAAGCTCCCTTTCTGTGGAATTAAATCAAATAGTTACCTGCTCATTAACATAAATTTGAAAATCTAAGAGGAAAAGCCAACAAAAATATTGGAACGCACCTCACAGTGTAAATCTTCAGGAAGAACTTCCTTTCTTCAACTGACCAGCTAATTAAGTTTTGTCATATCAATAAAATTATCTTTAATCCACATTCTATACACAATCTATTAAATCCCTCTGTTTCACTAGAAAATTATAATGTATTAATCTCTCCCCACACAAAAAAACAAAACATGACAATGCTCTTTGTAGTAGAAATTTAGAAATATCTGATAAAGAAAAGAACATCCCCACTATTAGAAGAGGCCAAGGCAAGTATATCTCTTCAACTCTGAAGAGATAACAGTGCAAGAAAGGGAGACATTATAGCATCAGATTGAAAAAACAAATCTAGACATGTAAATCAGGACATCAGACACTGAAGAGGAAACCCACATTGGTAAACACCACAGTTCACCTGCTCCATAACCCTTCCAAAGCAAATCCCTTCACCAAAATGAAAATTATGTAATAGAATCTTGACCCAATTTGCATGCTTAAACAAATCAGCTGAGACATCAAGCCCAAAACAACAATGTAAAATAGCAGAAATATTAAATGACATTAAGATATTTCTGCCCCTGAAATAAGAAGGTGAGCATTGCCCACAACAGCTCCTTGGGTTTGGCAGTGCCTGACAGATTTGAGTTTTCAGGGGCCCAGGTGAAGCTGAGTAATAACTCTGAGCTCTTGGGTTTCAATGATGACATCTTTTGCTCTCTTTTTTCTATCAATTGCTATAATTGAATCCATGGCAGGACTACTAGGAACTGGAATTATCTTGGCTGCCAGTTTATTCAGCTGCATTAGAAGTAAAACACGGTCCCCATATGATATGATCATGGTCTCTCTGAGTTCATCTAGATTCATTTTCCACTCCTGGAATATACTGGATTTGTTCATTAATATATGGCATGAACACTACTATGGTGAAGAAAATGTAGGTGTAGTTTCCAATACAGTGTATGTGTTTCTGAACTACTGCAGCCTCTGGTTTGGAGCCTGGCTTAGTGTCTTCTATTGCATCAAAGTTGCCAGTTTTACACCGTCTTTCTTCATCTGGCTGAAGCAAAGAATTGCCAGGCTGGTGCCCTGGATGCTGCTCACATCATGGCTCTGCTCCTTCACCGCTGCAATTCCCTTCATCTGGGATGACTATGCTCTGCAGAGGAACTTCACTGCTCCTCAACCCATGACAAACTCTTCAGCAGTGAGAACCACATGGAAAGATAGATTTGGTTTATTAATTCTTCTCTGTAATGCAAGTACAGCTTTGCCTTTTATACTGTCTGTTGTTTCTAGTGTCCTGCTGATTCGGTCTCTGTGGATGCACAGGAGATGCATGCAACATAATGCAAGTGGCTTCAGGGATCCCAGCTCAGAGGCATACATCAGTGCCATCAAGTCAGTCTTTTCCTTACTTATCCTTTACATTATATATTTTATTTGTTTGCTTCTCCTCTTATGCAGTGATTTTTTACCTTTAAGTGATGAGGAATCTATCTGTGTAGCTGTATTAGCTGCCTGTCCTACTGGACACACATTGGTCTTAATTTGGAGCAATCCAAAATTTCGAGAGCAGCCAGCTAGGATTTGGCACCATATTAACTGTCATGGCAGAACTGCATCTACTTAAAAGACAGTGGCTCTGCCTGGTCTTTCTAGTTTAGATCCAAATGAATCAATTGAAATCATTAGAGGCATAAATAATAGATGTTGCAATGAGTAGATGAGGGCCTTGATCTGCAATCATGAAGAAGGTGGGAATTGGCTTCACTTGGATGTGAATCTTGTTACAAATAATTGTGTAAGTTGTCTGCTATCTGCTCTGCTTTCCTGGGAAATCCCCCCAGTATCTCTAACACAGCCCAAAACCAGGGCCTAGACTCAGACTAGAATGTAATCACCTGCAATGCCGTGAGTAACAAGTCATGATACAAATGGAACAGACCAGGTTAAGCACAGGCATGGTCACATCCTTGGAATATAAGGCTTGAATGCTGCTTCTCGTTATTAAAAGTTCCTATGGAGGATGTTAAGGAATTCCCAATATTTCCAGAATATCTCATTGGTCGTTTTCAAGTCTGGTTGAACTCCTTAAAAATAGTTGTTGATTCTAAAGGTGTCTATAAGATTGCAGTAGGGTTCAGGAAAGAATGACATGCCTGTTTGAGTTTCCCACTCTTGCTGAAATAGTGATCTGTGTCACTGCATTATTGTTCCATCAGAACTGGAGCTACATGACCCTTTTCAGCTGCAGTGGGATTTTACATGTTCTTAAAGCATCTCTCACATAAACATTCATGTCTTGTGTTGACAAAGCCCATCCTGAGTCAATGTATCTGGTTTGGATGTTGTCAATCTGTTTGAAGCAATGCACCTGTAATTCATCTGAGTCTGTGCCTGAATTGTTTCATTTCAAACTTTAAAAAATACCAAGTCAAAGGATAACTTGTGTTGGAGTCTTCCTTTCCCTCATGACAGAAACTGCTTTCACAGGTGCCAGCAGTGGCTTGCAGGTACATTTTCCACACCATTTAATAGACATGCAGAAAGTTCAGCACATGGCAATGTCACGCTGGAGTGGCATTGTCAGCACCAGTGAAAGGTGCTGGTTCCCAGCTCAGCACCATGAGACATCCGTGTTGGGAGGCTTGGGCCATCCTCTGCCCTTCCCTGCTGTCCCCTCACCGGCCCACAGGAACAAACCTCAGAGCTCTCTGACCACACCAACAAGCAAAACACGCGGGCTGTGCTCAGCCCACAAGCCATGTGTGCTGTCCTGCTCCTGGCTGAGCCCTGAGGCACACGGCTGCTCAGCAGGGACACCCTGGACAGCTGATCTCACACTCTTTGGGTTAGGTTCCATTATTGCACATTCCTCATGCACATGAGATGCAAAAGTGGTGCCTGTGCTATTTTCCTGCCTCTTTGAGTACATCTTCCCTCCAAAGCTCCCTTTCTGTGGAATTAAATCAAATAGTTACCTGCTCATTAACATGAATTTGAAAATCTAAGAGGGAATGCTGACAAGAATATTGGAAGGCATCTCACAGTGTAAGTCTTCTGATAGACCTTCCTTTCTTCAACTGACCAGCTAACTAATTATTATCACATAAATAAAATTATCATCAACATGTATTATATACACCATCTTCTGTGTTCTATTGGATAAATTATTAAAGAAATTTGATAAAAATTATTCTGGGGAAGCAAAGTAACAGCCTCTTTACTAGCAGGAAAACGAGAGTTACAGGAGTTGTGATCCTGTGATAGCACATATCTTGTTTGAAAGTAGGCATTTTTCACTTTTTGTCTGTTTAATCCATAACCTGGTAATTGGTTCGATTCCCACATCTTAGCTTACTATATGGCAACCTGAAGAAAATTTGAAACACATGGACTCTGACCTTTCCAAAACATATGAACTATTTCCACACATAGTAATGCTATTCAGCCCCTCTTGCAGCTTGATTCACGTCTGGCACAGTGAATCAGATCAGGAAACAAACAAAATTCAAATCTCATCCTGCTCTAACACTGCCAGAAGGAGATCATGCAAATCATATTGTCTTGTACCTCTTGCCACTGAGAATTCAGGAAAAAAAATACACAATGTTTTTTAGGAAACTGCTCACATGTAACATAAAACAATGAGGCCAGCATTTGAAACAAAGTCCTTTTCCATTCCACACTTCAAGGTTTCTGTAATTTAGTGATGAAAATAATCATCAGTAAGAAATTCAAAGAAAGACAGAAAAACCCATTTAATTTTTAAAGAACAGCATTTTCCAAGAAAAAAACCCCAGTAATTTGAATAGCGTCATTAACTCAAAGCAAGAAATGCAAATATCTACACAAGAGGTGAGTAGAAGATCCTTCTCTGCTTTGCATTCCTATATACACAGCAGGAATTTTCATAACTGAAATTCTGGATGAAATGTGATGGACTCATTTTTAAGTGTCCATCATGGCAGGATAAAAAAAAAAAAAAGCAAAACCTGTGTGCCATTGAGGCTGTACTGCTTTTCTGGGTATGTGGGGACAGGAGAAGACAAAGACATGAAGGGACTTCCTGGTGAAATTAAGGCCTTGCTTTTTGGGGTTTGGCAGCTGAGTTTCAGAAACAACTTCCATGGTCCACATAAATGGCCTTAAAGCAAACTGCAGAGTGAAGCCTCAGTGGGACTTAGAGCCCTCTAAATTCAGGAGCTGCTTCTAAGCTTGATGGTCAGTTTTGGTCTCTCCTTGAGCTATGTTTCAGCTTTTCTTGGGCCTTTCCACCTACTAAACTCACTTGGATATCGATCCTGGCCTGCAGACTGGAATTACTGGCGTGATCTTGGATATGTCTTATCACTCAGGATATGACTGGCAACCCCTACACTTGTGGCTGCCCCTAATTGTTCACACAGAGGTTATCTGCTGTCCTCGCACATATGTGGGGGGACTGCTTGGCCACGCCTTGTGGGGATTCCTTCAACATGGGCAAAATAACTGAATTTATTTCAAATCAATAATAGAGTAGGGGACTGAGAAACAAAGAACAAAACCAGAAATCTTTTTTCCTCATCCCCCTCTTCTTCACTCTTCCATCTCCTCCTTCCATGAGCAGGGCAGGGGAACAGGGAATTGGGGACTGCAGAGGGGATCCTCTCCAATCTTCAAGATTGGGTGCAATCTTCCAGGAACAAACTGCTGCAGCATGGGATCACAACAGGCTGCAGCTCCTGACAGGGACTTTCTCCATCGTGGGATCTCCACAGGATGCAGATTCCTTCAGGGCACAACCACCCGCTGCCAGACAGGGCTCTGCTCACACTGCAGTGTGGATATCTGCTGCACTGAGGTCTGCCAGGGCCTGCAGGGTCACAGTCTACATCAGCGGGGTCCCCTCCAGGGAAAGCACAGGAATGTCACTCTGGTGCCTGGAGCATCTTGTCCCCCTCCCTCTTCACTGACCTGGCTGTCTGCAAGACTCTCCCTCATCTTGTCTCTCCGTCCTCTCTCTCACAGTTGCCACGCACTGGTCTTTAGCCTTCCTTAAACGAGTTGTCACAAAGATGTCACCGGCATCACTGTGCCAAGAGCCTTGGCCAATGGTGGGTCCCCTTTGGGAACTGGGCCTGGTTCTGTGTGACACACGGGCAACTCCTGCTCCCTTCTCACACAAACCACTCTGCAGCCTTCCCACTACCAAAAACTTGCCCATAAACCCCACACATATCACACAGACATTTGCTGCTTATCTTGTGGTAAGAGGCTCAATGCTGAATGGGGCTTTGGACCACCTGGTCTCCTGCAAGGTATCCCTGCCTATGGCAGGGGGTTAGAACTGGATGGTCTTTAAGGTCCCTTGCAACCCAAACCATCCTGTGATTCTACAAATGAGCTTAAAAGAGCTGTTGAATTCAAGAGCAGCTCAACAGTTTTCTTTGACTCAAAGGCACGTGCTCTGTATTCACTGACTTTTTTCTATTGGGAGTGTCTGTCAATAGCAGGCTACAAAGCTGTTCTCGTCAAAAAAACAAACACGCTTTTTTTTTTATTTCTTCAAGGTAAAAGTGAAATTCTAATTGGGGCTGAGAATGTAAATGCTTTCCTGTTGATGTCTGGGTCTGGGGGTCTGTCTGACCCCCGGCTCTGCCACCGACTACTGCAGATAAGGGTCCAAAGGGGAACGGCCGGCCAGAGAGTCTTGGGCAGCTTCCAGCCAAGGGGAACCCTTCGGAGTGCAGCCTGAGGCTTCACGTGATCAGCTCTTTTAGAAGTGATTTCTGCTCTGGGATCAGCTCAGATCAGCCCAGCTCTGCTCATGGGTTACTGCAGCCAACACATAGACAAGAGAGTTGGGAGGCTGAGTAGCGTTCTGTGGAGTGCTTTAATGCAGCCTTCAGTGAAGGGAGCCAGTGACGGTCACATCCACAGAACTGGGCAAAAGCTGGGGTTTTATAGGGAAGGGGAGAACTGGGACAGGGACCAATGGTCTAAGAGCAGGGTAAAATGACCAATAGTTAACAGGAAGATTACATGCGGTCCTGAAGCAGGAAGGGGTCCACAGCTTAGACACCATGACTAAGTAGTTTTGTCTTATCTAAGGGGACAGATCTCCAAGGAGGAAGCCTGTCAGAAGAGCGGGCTTCCTCCACACTTTCACAAAGATTTTCAATCCAAAAATTATATGAATTTGACACATCCAAAAATTCTCATGCAGGTACACTTGCAAAACTTGGAAGCAGAATGTTCTAAACTCTTTAAAAAAATTTCCAAAGGAAGAGTTTGTAGCAATACTAAAATAATAAAAAAATTATAATATTTTTAATTTGGTCTTGAATTATTTCAATCTTTTTCTTGGCGTATGCTTTCAAATCATAAGTATCTGGACCTTATATGTACAAAATACCTAGAGTAGTACATGTATCAAATATATAAACAAATGTACATAAATCTGAGGTGAACACGCACAAAGTTTTACTCCTGTGAGTAAAATAGGATGATCAAATAGGTTTGAACACTCTCCTAGGCAATCACAGATTACATCAAGCACTAAAAAATTTCAAACTACTCAAAGAAGCAACTTTGAAAAGGTCTCAAAGTTTCTCCCCACCTCACTGTCCACACCTTCTTACTGTGCTA